AACCATATTCACTCACTCACTTTTACGACAAGCATGGGTTGCTGAAGACCTACTCTACCCCGTATCTTCACAGGTCTTTTTTAATTAGTATCCGATCTGCTTGTTGCATCTTTTTAACTTATTCTTACTGTACATCTGGCTTCATTACCGGTGTTATTTGTTTTCTATTACCTATTTTTGTTTATTTTAATCCTCTGATTATCACACGATATCATTTATATAACCTGACATAAACATATTTGTATTTCATGAACGAGATCTGGATTGGTAAACAAGCAATTATTCTTACATAAATACCGCTCCAGGAAAAACAGATTACAGTAGGTAACTTAATATAAACATTTTCATGTTGAATATTATTAAATAATACATCAAATTAAGCTCTAACCGTTAGCTAGGGCTAGTATAGTCCGAGCTAAAGGGATGCAGTATGTCAATTTCAATATTCTATCCAAAATGTATTTAGATTATTATAACTACTAATCGAATCTCTTACTTTTTACAATGACTGAAAAAGAGTGTCCATGTTGATTGCGTCACTGCCATCTTCCCGAGGCAAGAGAGTTAACTGACTATAAAAGTCCAGTTTCCACCCTTGCCGAACTGGGCTGGTATTATGGAGTTACATTTCGGCTGGACCAACGAGTCTATGCATAGTCCAATCATAATCGCGCACCGAAATCGAAATCCGGTTCCTGAACTGTCATGCAGATTTCGGTCGATTGCAGGATTTGCAAAGCATGTGCACCGCCAACTCGTTGTCAGCAGATATTTTCCAAATCTGTTCATGTTTTTTATCAAGTTGCTCACGTGATTTGATGCATTTCGCGATGTAAGACTCGTTTTATCACAATATAGATCTTGATTATTGATCAGATCGTCCTGACTGGGCGCCACCATTTTGTGTGAAGCAAACGCAAGTGATACGAGGGGTGGAATTTGATTGGTCCATAGGAGAGGCTCAGAGGGGACATAACTGGTAATAGCCACTGATGGCGCTACGATCGAGCCCAATTATTTTAGCCTAGTTCGGCAAGGGTATGCTTGTCGTAAGCGGCGACTAACGGGATCGGGTGGTCGGGCTCGCTGACTTGGTTGATGCATGGCACCGTTTCCCACACTTTATATCACAAATGTTTTCTAGGTGTTGGTAAGTTTTCCTCAAAGAAGGCAATTCTTGCTGAAACAGGCCGTAGTAATATTTTTGTAGCCAGACAATTAAGGGTAATTAAGTATTGGATTAAGTTACTTAGAATGATGCCTGATCCCCATATCCGTGTTACCAAATGTTAAAGGTACCTGATGATAATGGTAAAAAATGGGTTTCAGGTGTGAGAAATCTATTATTTGTTAGTGGCATTTCATATGTATTTGATTGCCCAAGATGTGGGAGATCCTCAGTTATTGATATATTCATATCAGATAATACTAAAGGATATATGGATCAACAGTGGCACCAAGGTATATCTTAATCACTTTATCTTAGCAGGTACAGCAAAGTAAAGTCATTGTTACTAACTGAAAGATATTTAACTTGTTTAAATGATGAAAGTTTAATCAGAACTTATTGTAAACTTAGAATTTCATTGCACAATTTTAACGTAAATGTATGTCGCAGGTCCAAAGACGCTGATATTGTTAACTCTATTTGTACAAACTGTTCATTCGGAGAAGTAGAAGATGAATACCATGTCTTACTTATATGTGAAATGTATTCCCATTTAAGGTATAAATTTCTCCCCATGTTGCAAGGTATTTTTAAAGACCGTCAGTTAATTATGAATCTGCTAAATTCTGAAAATCCTGATATGATCCATGCTGTTTTTGTATTCTTAAAACATGTCTTTAAAATGAGGAATGTGTTACTTGATTTAAAATCTAATCATGTGCATCACGTGACAAATGTTAATATCCAATCTGCATTGTACTATGGGCCTTGATGCCAAAATTAATGAATAAACTGTCTGTTTCCAAATTGCGTAGACCCATGCTCATCATGTCAATCACTAGACTGTCTGGTCCAGATCATTTAAAGACCCCTGTCATAAAGCTGGAATGCTCAGTGAGTCGTTATACAACAAACAAAAACCTTTCATTATTGATTTGTTTGTCTGTTTGTTGTTTAACGCCGCACTCAGCAATATTCAAGCTATATGACGGAGGTCTGTAAATAATCGAGACTGGACCACGCAATCCAGTGATTGAAATCATGACCATCGATCCACGCAATTGGGATACGATGACATGCATCAACCAAGTCAGCGAGCCTGACAACCCGATCCCGTTAGTCGCCACTTACGACAAGCATAGTCGCCTGTTACGGCAAGCTTGGGTTGCTCAAGACCTATTCTACCCCGGATCTTCACGGGTCTAAGAAGTGCGATGTCCAGCCTAATATGTCCGTGTCAGCCCAAGTATAAATGTGTTGTTGTGTTGGTGATATAGTCCCGTTGTCAATTATGTAACTTTCAGATTGCTTTAACCGGTCATATGACGGCGGTCTGTAAATAATCGAGTCTGAATCCAGTGATTGAAATCATAGGCATCGATCCACGTAATTGGGATACAATGGCATGCATCAACGCATCAGCTACAATATAGGTGGAGCCTTATATGTGTCAATACTTATTCCGCTGGTTTCCTTTCCCGAGGAACTGAAGTGTTTACTGATGTAGCGCTCTTGAGCCGAGGGCAGTCACGTGCGCGGATGTATTTCCCGGGAATACACCGGCTTTCCCAAACCAATGTCCGGCTTACCCCGGAAATCGAAGTTGAGACCTTTCATACATTTATCCGGATGAATTCCTGCGCGATGCACATACAACTCTGCTGTACTGTCGTGACAGTGTTATATTTGCGCATTAATTTGTATAATTTAGCTTGATTCGAAAATATATATCATGTTTTAATAAGAGAGGCAGATTGGCGGTGCCGTTTTGGAAGTAAACCGGTTCAGGAATAAACGTTTGCCATAGGAAATGTTGGGCATGCGCAGATGCAGAGATCATTTTCCAATATGGCGCACTAGAACTCGTCCAGTATGTTTACATGTGCAAGAGAATATTGATGGCATACGCAAGCATTACCCTGTTACAGGGGTCGGGCCAATTTTCAGTCCTACCAAGCTTGATTTAACTTTTAACTCTCCGGGTGGACGCACTACCACAAGACAACGGTGGCGGTCTACTGGTTTTATAGAGATGATGTAATTCAATCGGATTTTCCACTCAGAAACATCCTTGTGTTGGTTCACATAGCATCTCGCCACCATCGTGGTGACCTCTTCCTCGTTGTCAGAGTATCATGTCGTAGATCCATGTCCTACTGCAAAAACTGTTTGTTTCTTTTATTGTTGCTTAACGCCGCACCCAGCAATATTCCAGCTATATGACGGCGGCCTGTTAATAATCGAGTCTGGATCAGACAATCCAGCGACTGACATCATCAGCATCGATGAAAAAGTGAATGAGAATGTGAACGCCGCTTTTAGCAATATTCCAGTAATATCAAGCCGGGGGACACCGCAAATGGGCTTTACAGCTTCACATGCATATGTCCTAAGTTAATGAGAGAGAATCGGTCTTAACATGAGAGTGAGCGAGTTGGATCAAAGGGACCGACCTTTGATATTCTGGTGGGGAATGGGATCTTGTATTGAGACTTGATATTTTTCAGCCTATGAGCCTAAATCAAAAAATAAAAACAACTTGCAATGGTGTCTCTTTGGGCGCAGACTCTTCCTTTTTCAACAGTCTGAAGCCTAACTATTATTTTCAAGCATTTTCTGACAATTTGTTTATCCCTGTCCATAGGTAAGATTAAATACAAACTGGCTGAAGCGGTCACTATCTGCGTTTTAGTCATTTCTTCAGTTTGCTCAATTGCCAAACAGTCAGGATTGCACGGTCTACAGGTCTTCCAGCCACCAGTCTATGATGCACGCGTTTTTTACGATTAGGTAAAACTGGCAACACTTAGAGCGTGACTTCGAAGACACGTTTCACTGAATAATTTATGTGCAAAATTGTTCATTGAAGCCAGAGCATCGGGAATTCGCAAGCAATGTTACGCCCCGAATTGTTTGCTAGGTATTCCCTAAAAGTTGACAACTTTCTGAAGAAGTTTTATCCATAAATTGTCTGCAATCTTAAATCAGGAGTTCACAGGAATTCTCTCAATAGTAAGTATATGTAAAGATATGAGTGAGTGAGTGAGTTGGGTTTAACGCCGCTTTTAACAGTATTCGAGTTACATCACGGCGTGTCAGCTTAATGTGGGAGAATAGGTCGAAGTGATGCAGGTCTCAGACGTTTACCACTTCGGTGAAGCCCACGAGCACGGGTATGGTGCTGACAAATCTAGAAACATAACCGGGGCGAACCGGGATTCGAACCCACAATCATAGGTTTCTGGCGTGCCCAAGGGACGCAACTCTGCACAGCGAATCGCGGCGCCTCAGACGACTGGGCCACCCATGCCCCCTGTAATGATATGAGAGTCCAATAGCAGTGACGTGGACTACGCACGGAATTACTTCTCGTTAACACGGAAAATATGGGAGTTCGATAGACATGGCGTGGATTTATCACTTAATTCCAATGTTGTTCATTGTCATCCTTTCGTGTCATGCTTGTCATATTCTTGTCCCTGATATCTCCATATCTTGACACAAAAGGTCCTCTCTTTTCGAATTAAGTTATTCGCTAGAGTCTCAGCTAATGATGATTGTATCCACATATTGATGGACCGAAGACAGTTGTTACCTCCATGTATAGATGCCCTACCTGATAGAGTTCAACTCATAAGAAATGTACAAAACCAATGCAAAGTGGGTACTTCGCGACCAGTAATATTGTCACATTCCCTTGGTCATCCAAACAATTATCAAGACGTTATTTGTTTTTGTAATGTGCGAGGATTTAACACGCCACACACAGGATCACAAATACCCCAAGGGCGGCCATATCAAGAGATCTGTTCACGAAAGGAAGGCTTTCAGCTATGCAAAGCTCTGCGATCTCGAGCCAATAAGTACCTGTAGCCCAGGTCCAATTTTATTTGTCTTGTGGTGTACCCCAAACAAAGAGATTATTAAGAATACATGAACATTGTGCACAGTGCTATTGAAATCACCCTAATAGTAGAGACGTTCCAGACATCTTATCAAGACTCGGTCTTACCAATAGCCATTCCGACGTTAAGAGCGTGGTGAAGTCCTTCATTTTAATAATATACATGTGTGTTGTGTTGAAAATATTTCTATTAAGTCGGCTTATTGGTTTATTGGCATCCGTCGGTTGATGCATGGTACAGCGTTGAACAGTGTCCAGTTAAAGATGTTAGTGTAAATATCCTGAATGGAAGGACTTAGCAAGGAGACCGTCTTTCTCAGAATGGAACTTACAAGTTCTGAAAATTGCTGGAGTCCTGAATCCCAGTTAGCCATGGACGAGGTTTCTGGAGAAACTCTGACTCTATAACAACGAAATAGTCAACTATGTGTTCTTCAAAATTGTACTTTGCACAAAGGTGACATCTGCGTTTTCAGACCATTAGGTGGTGGTTTGAACAATTTGGTTGGATACACTGCAAACTTACACATGTTAATCTTGAACCTTGACTTCAGCGATAAATCATTCTGCGTTCTTGCTTCTGAATATGCAGTGTTTATGATCACAGTCTGAAACAATTCGCGTAGCACAAAGCCATTATGTACTTGAATATTGTTATAGATTCTATACGTAAGTATGCACATTACTCTTTTCTAAAGGTGTACCACACATGTCACAAATCTGTGTTCCTGGTGGGTTTTCGTAAGTGCATTTCTTACATTCTGTGATGCTGTCGCCGCACTTAGGGCCGTCAATTTCTGGCCCTCTACTTTTACCGCAGACTCGACAGATCGCAATCTGGTTATCGTTCATCCCCGAACAGAAGTGACAGTTCCACCTCCCTGTATCAGGGACACCCAGATCATTCATTCGCCGAGCCATTGAAGCCCCTACGTCCCCACTAGTGGTGTAGGTCTGTGGTCTGTAGCCACCATCTCTCTGGATTATGTTGGGCTTCCGCGCCATTGTATCAATATTTGGATAGATTTTGTTGGGGGTAACCCCCCTCGCTACGATTGGAACCTGCGATCTAGCAGCACTGTTGTAGGATGTTTGGGAGACGTATGCTGAAGTGCCTACAGATGTCGCTCCTGGGGACAGGGGTTGGGGGTGATGGGCGGGTCCTGACAGAAGATTACTTGGGGGGTAGAACACCTGTGAAGACCCTGTCCTATAACCTGAAGACTCTCTCGCCATAGTCCTGTCCTGAGAGACACTTGTGACCTGGGACCTGGGAGAAATTCGTACTGGAGGATGTTCAATATTGACAGCGGGAGGTTCTTCTTCAATGTCAATACCTTCGTCGGATTGTTCATCTCGGGGTGGAAGCCTAATATGTTCCCTTGAATTCCGGATCACATCTCCTCTTGCTCCATCGAAATATTTTGTTCCATATTTGGTCTCCAGGCCTTCGCGCACAAACGCCCAGTCGTCGGACCCGCTCTGAGGGGCAGCTTGGCGTTGAGGGTTCTGACTCAACCTCTGCAGGCTGGCCATGTAGTGCTCATCTATTGTTCCTTCCACATATCCAGTATCGTCCACAAAATGATCATCCTCATCAATGAAAGGCAGGTTCCTAGGAACTCCCCCGGTTGCCCCAGCCAAGACTACCTTGTTCCTGACACTACTGGGGGCGGCTGATGCATACGCAGAGTCTATTCTACTTTCACCTTCTCTAGTTTTAAAACCGTTCCTGTCTTCGTCTTCAGTGTTCTTGACTGCCGGAAGTACTCCTGTGTCCCGCCACCTTACGACATCTGAAACGTTCGCTCCTCCTTCCTTCATCTTCCTATGAAACTCGGAAAGCATTTCACATTCCACTGTAGCCACTACACATTCAAATGCTACTGCTATTATAAGCTGTAGGTCAGGTTCCCCTTTCAACACGAGTGTGTTGGCTGTGTCTGGTTGGAATCCAACGAGGCAAATAATTGATTCAGGGTCTTCAAGATGGGACCTAATTTTCGACTGGAAGAACCCACAGTAGGTCTGAAACAAGAAACAGTATTAGTAGAATTTAGTGAGAGGTGGAGTCCGGCAGAGCTCGAGATAAGCTGCGTATTTGCGTAAAATACGCATTAATTAAACAGAAATACGCAGACAAATCAAATCCCAGGGTATCAAATATGCAGTAAACACTATAAATACGCTTTTGAAATAAAATTGATGCGCATATTACTTTTAGACAAAACGATTGCGTATATAACAACAGTTAATTAAAATGATTGTGTATCAGCCGATCGTGAAATTCACTTACCGACAGTTACATTCGGAAAGGAGTGAGGGAGTGAGTTTGGTTTAACGCCGCTTTTAACAGTATTACAGTTATATCGCGGCGTGTCAGCTTAATGTGGGACGAAAGCCCGAAGTGATGCAGGTCTCAGACGTTTACCACTTCGGTGAAACCCACGAGCACGGGTATGGTGCTGACAAACCTAGAAACATAATCGGGGCGAACCGGGATTCGAACCCACAATCATAGGTTTCTGGCGTGCCCAAGGGACGCAACTCTGCACAGCGAATCGCGGCGCCTTAGACGACTGGGCCACCCGTGCCCCCCCATTCGGAAAGGATTGTGTGACAACCATACTAATAGATGCCAGTTGAAAAGCACATCATACCTAGTCAATGTACATGCTGTATCTTAAACAGTCGCTGATTGGTGATTTACAAAAGCGCCGTTCTTACAATGCTAGGTGTTGCAAACAAAAATGGTTTCCCGGAGAGGGAGCCGCAAGCAGACACAGACGGGTATAATACTATTCACATAGTTTAAGTCTTTAATGATTTAAGGGGATTGTTAGGAAATAGGTTTTAAGTTAAAATACCAAAATGTGATGAAACAGGTGGGTAAATTATTTTGGAAGACCCTCTAAAAATTGTGGATACCCAATCAAAACTCATGGGTAAAATACCCAAATAATCAAAAGCTTATCTAGAGCTCTGGAGTCCTATATTATATGTTGCTATATTTCACCAAGTCATTGCAACTTGTGTGAGTGGCCTAATGATTTTGTTGAAACGCCGTTTTGAACAGAATTTCAGTCATATCACAGTGTGTCAGCTTGATGGCGGGTAAAAGTCCGAAGTGATGGTCTAAGATGTTACAACTTTGTAAACTCCACAAACATCGGAATGGGAATGAGTGCTGTTTTACGCCATTCTAATCAATATTCCAGGATCATGTTAATATGGGACTGAACACACCAGCTACTATCCAAGTGAGTGAGTTTGGTTCTACGCCGCTTTTAGCATTATTCCAGCAATATCACAGCGGGGGACACCAGAAATGGGCTTCACACATTGTACCCATGTCAGGAAGCGAACCCGGGTCTTCGGCGTGACGAGCGAACGCTTTAACCACTAGGCTACCCGACCGCCCCCTACTATCCAAATCATTGGGTACGAAGAAATGAGCCCATTGTTTAAGCATGACCAGACGACCCCTATATTAGTCAGCCAGCTCTCTTTTAATAATAGTCTTGAGTGAGTGAGTGAGTTGGGTTTAACGCCGCTTTTAACAGTATAACGCCGCTTTTAACAGTACTCCAGTTATATCACGGCGTGTCAGCTAAATGTGGGAGGAAAGCCCGAAGTGATGCAGATCTAAAACGTTTACCACTTCGGTGAAACCCACGAGCACGGGTATGGTGCTGACAATCCTAGAAACATAATCGGGGCGAACCGGGACTCGAACCCACAATCATAGGTTTCTGGCGCGACCAAGGGACGCAACTCTGCACAGCGAATTGCGGCGCCTTAGACGACTGGGCCACCCGTGCCCCCTAATAGTCTTGAGGTACTGGGAACCGTCACTGACCCGGAATCCAAACGGGGACATTGATGTCATCTACAAATCGACACACAATCACACAACACACAATCCAAAAATAGAAATCTATGGTGAATGCAGCAATAGACGTGAATCAGGAAGTACATTGTAGAGCTAAGCTCACATTAAACCGAGTGCCTTTATTTACTACACGGATGTTCAATATGCAAACGATAGTCATAAAAGCCGTGGAATGTCAGGTAATGCATTTCTTTATTTTGTGTGTGATCAATCGTGTGAGGTCTGTAAATTCAGTGCCCCACATTTAGGACACTGCATTGTGTGAGTGGACGAAGCCGGAAAATAATCGTTTGGGCACGTACTTAATGCTGACTTATTCATATTTCCAGAAACCCTTTAATCATTTAACAAATCATAATCATCATCACCATCATCATCAATATAAACTGTTCAACTTCTTTCGACATAAATGGGTATATACAAAGTCAGACAAACTTTCTTAAAACGAGGAAACGTTTCAATCATCATCATCATCATCATCATCATCATCAATACAAACTGTTCAACTTCTTTCGACATACATGCGTACATACAAAGTGGGACAAAGCTTCTTAACACGAGGAAACGTTTCAAATCAGGTTACGGTAAGTCCAGTCATTAGCAACTGTATATCATTTCCGCATGGGGAATTGTTGCGGTAATGCATTTAAACTTCCCACTCAATATTTCCTCAAACTAACAAAGACCTATCCGTCTACACAGAACCACAATACAGACTAGTGAAACAGGTTCTTCAGCGATAATTTGGTCAAGATGAATATTCAGATCACAGCTCCAAACCGCATGTTTTAGCAACTTCCTAGATGTGTATGTGCACACTCATATTTGTTGCCTCCGCATTGGAATAAAGAAATTCTCCGGCGATGTATTTAACAAGGACCGATTTAAGTTTAGCTTTTCAACCAATATATTAAAGCTGAGTGACTATTTAGCTTTACAATCAGTTTTAAACACGATACCCATTTAGGGATTCGAACCTAGGATAACAAGCCAACGAAATGGTCACAAGGCTGCCGATGTTTGGGGAATATGTATACTCCATTCAAATACAGCCTATAGAATTTAACAAGTTCTTAAAAGTGATAAGCTGAGATCAAGATCAGATACAAGACTCCACTCCAGTTGGGGAGTTGATGCCATGTAACATACGTTTATCGTACGAAGTGACAAAATGGATCGGGTGCTCAGACGCGGTGACTTGGTTGATTCAATGTCATCGTACACCGCATGTGTTGGACGTTGCTCATATCAATCGGTGGTTTGTCTGGTCAATAATCGAGTATTTACAGGATGACGCGATACAGCAGTAATACTGCTGGCTTTGGCTCTAATCAAACAAAACACGACACAATATTCGCCTTGACATCGTCCATATCCAACAAAAAAGTTACCATGTACTAAATAGTCTATCAATACACAACTACTCCCAATAAGGGCAGTCTCCTACGACACTAGTACCCACTAGTCGGTAAACTTGATACCACTTCAACTTTCTTTGATCAACAGAATTTTCACATCTACTTAACACACCGAAGCTTTCTAAAGCGAGTTGAGTATAACGTTGCTTTGAACAGTATTTCAGTTATAGCAAGGCGTGTCAGCTAGCTGGGAGGGGGGAGGGGAGGGGGGAGGGGGGAGGGGGGGGGGGGGGGGGGGGGGGGAGGAGCTCCATGTGATGCAGGTATCCGATGACGTCTGACGCTGAAACCCACGACCTGGAATCGAACAGCACAGAGATCGCGGCGCCTCAGACAACTGGACCACCCGTGTCCCTATAAGTTCCTGACCGCCTCCGTGGTCTAGTGGTAGAGCGTCCGCCCGGAGAACGGAAGGTCCGGGGTTTGATCCCCGACCGCGTCATACAAAAAGACGTGAAAGGATGGTACTTGTTGTTACCCTGTCTGGCGCTCGACATTAAGGGGCTAAAACAAGGACTGGTCGGCCCGGAGTCAGTATACTGTGTCCGAGTGGGGTATTCATGTTAAACTGCGGCATGGTATCTCAGTGAGGTAGCACTATAAATCGGCATCAGTCCGGACTAGTACAAGCAGCCACACAAACACACACACGTGCATGCACGTCGCTATATAAGTGCAATCATCTTGGACGCGACGTTAAACCCAATTTCACCACACCACACCACACCACACCTATAAGTTCCTTTTCTCTCATTCTAGTAGGGTAGTTTAGACATTGAGTATTTACGTGGAAACAAAGTCACAAACAGCTTGTAGTACCAGTGAAGCTATGAATGATATATTCATCATAACTACATTTCATGCTTTGAGCGAAATTTACGGGTCATTATAATTGTGCAGACCCGTGAAGATCCGGGTTAGATATGTTCTTCACAAACCCATGTTTGTCTTTAGAGGCGACTAACAGGATCAGGCGGTAAGGCTCGTCGACTTAGTTGATACACGTCATCATATCCAAATTGCGTAGATCGATGCTCATTGTGTCAATCACGGGATTGTCTGATTCAAATATTTACAGACCTCCGGAATATTGCCGAGTGCGGCGTCAAACAACAAACAAACAATAATTGAGCATGTTTCATGTATCAGACGCGGAAACAATATGCAATTATGAATATCAGGCTCAGCAGTAAAGAAAACCAACAATAAACTGGAATAATCTTTCTCCATTTCTTGTTTCAGCGTATCAGGCCTCAACGTTTAGATTTTTACGAAGTAGACACATGGCTACAAGTATTTTTTTCCTGGTAGCCAGTGTTAAAATCAAGAAGTCAAGCCAATATTGTAGGTAGCCAAAAACATTTGAAATTATCTTTGATCAAATAACTATTATAATATGTACAAGTCATAGCAATAGTCTTGTATTCTAGTGGAAACTGTACTTGATTTTTGTTATTTGTGACGTGAATTTACGTTACAAGATTATATAGGTATATCCCTGCTTATCCATTGAGCATTGTTGACTAAAATAATATACCAATTAAATTAATACTTATGTATTTCGGTTCAATGTCGACTTTAGGGGGCATTATTTGCGAGTACAATTATTAAGAGATGTTTCTTCCAAGATCAGCTGTTATTTATTTTTGTGTCAACATATGCATGATATGCGTAGCAACCGAATTTAGTCGCCACAAGATATTTTTCAAGGTAGTCATTTGGCTACCTCTGAATTTTAGACAGTGGAAAAATTGAAATTTAGGTCGCATTAGCTACGAAACTTTGAGGCCTGCCGTATCCATAAATCAAGTAATAAAATTAAAAAGCCTTTCAATATTGATGTAGTTTTTGTATAGTGGCTGCATTGTTGTATCACCTCATATATCGAGCAAAACACTTCCTGGTGTACAATCTCGTTTGACTGGTTGTGTATGTTCAGGGAATTCCCCTTAAATGCCACACTGACCTACTAAAAGCAATCACCCGATAATTAACAGACGTCGTATTATATTTATGTGTGGATTGATCTGAACACTGCTGTATTTGCTAAGGGCTGACTTCATTCCAAACATGGCACCAACACACTGCAAACACCAGATTACTAAATTCACCCCTTTGGGAATCCGGGTGGGACTAGGTATCCAGTGACTAAACATGTCGTAACTGTCAGGTCGGGTGGTCAGGATCGATTGCACGCCATCGTACCCTGGCGACGCGTGACGTAAATAATAATAATATCAACAACTATTTTATTCTGGTCTAGGCTTGATTATTAATTACAGGCTGTCGTGAGAGAGCTTGAATTTTGCTGAATACGCGGTCAATCAACCAACCAACCCACCAACCAACAACGCTCGACTCACTTCATGCAGAAGAGCAGGGATGGGTATTGGCCTGAATTTCGTATTGCAGTTTATTGGAACGATTCATGTTTTGTGACACGTACAACAGTATATTGTATATGTTCATCTGTCTGCAAACTGTTATGAATCTGAATAAAATAGACACATCCATCGGAGCCCGCACATGTTTGTCAACTTCGTAGTCCGCCATTTTGCTGGATGTTGCTATGGTCACAACGCATGCGTAATAAACAAGAGTGAGTGAGTAACGTACAACTTCTTTCACATTAATATTCAGATTGTACGAAAGCAAATATAAGTTCAAAACTTCAAGGACACACAAGTGCACTTTCAAGGTAGCTTCGCGTTAAAGGAAATCATGTAACAAAGAAAGAATAGGGAAGAACACGAGGGCTGGAGCGGCATGTCACCACACGGAAAATACATATGTCAGGAGTCAACTATTTCAAACACGTGGAAATAACTCTAATTTATGTCTCAGGGGTAGAACATGATATATCAAACTTTCATTGTGACAAAGCAAAGGGCCTGATGTCCTAAATGTTAGTGGGGGGTCAGGGGGCTTAGGGTACGATGCGATAACGCAGTAGGTCTTGGCGTAGAACATCCATCGTAAGAGGTCAAAACGTATATTTTGGCTTTAAAGTGCTTAACGAAGTAGGAGAAATTTGCACAAGAGATCTCAGCGTTGAACCCCCGGGTTAGAATGGGTCTTCAGCAACACGTTTGTTGTAAGAGGCGACTAACGGCATCGGGCGGCCAGGCTCACTGACGTGGTTGACGCATGTCATCGTATCCCAATTGCGTGGATCGATGTTCATGATCTCTATCACTGGATGATCTGGTTTGTTCTTTAACTCAACAAAAATGCAACAATATTACAGCGATTCTAAAATAATGGTGTTTTGATCAGTCGATCTGAAATTCCCACGGGTGACTGTCAAGTAAAGCAGGAGTGAGTTAGTGAGAGAGTGGGATAAATAGAACTAAGGACGTTCTCTATTACCGACTTGGTGACACCAATGTGCAGATGTGGTGTTGACGGACCAAGGATTATAATCGGGGATAGCGGATCCTGGCAAGATGAAAGGAAGCAACTCTGCAGTGTTAACTGGGAAGGTGGCCCTGTGTCCCATCGTCAATCCATACCCACCTCAATTCGTCTTGAAGGAGCATATGTGTCATGACCTACTGCTGTTACACAAGGTCGACCTAATACAGGAAATTATTCATATAGCAACCAACCCTTGTATAACATTTAAATCGTAAGCTTCATATTGTGTAATACGTGTGCGCTTCGTATTTCAGGAAGCGGATTTAACTGCTGGTTTAATGTGCATAAGCGGCCATGCAGAGATGAATATATGGCTGGACTTGCTTGTGATGATGTTAACTACAGGTATTTAACCAACGTATATATCCTGTAGAACATTCACATTGAGCAGTGGGCCCTCCGGGAAAGAATAGGCGCAGAGTACACTGTATTCGTGCTTGGAACAGACACTTCTTCAGGTGTTGGCCGTTTTCGTGTTTGAATGGCTCTTGGTCAGCAATCTTTCAGTAATACTGCAAAATGGCAGGTTGCCATTGACGATCTAATACAGGAAAGCCCCACACCCCACCGCGCATTACCAAGTCATAGCTCTGACCATGAGAATATGATAATTCAAGGAAGTAGAATCAACGAGGCTGGGCCTATTTTATTACTTATACGACGGTCATGGTTGATACATAATATATCTCTAGTTGTGTAAAAGTTGTGTTAAAGTTACTTGATAAAATTGCTCTATCATAATGGCCAGTAAAATTCATGGTCCAGAATTAGCTGTGGCGTGACGTCATCATATAGAATACATTCAGGGTTGTAGGTCGGTCAAGTGTTCTAAGTTTGAACAGTGATGTTGGAGCAACGCCTATTTGTACACTTCAGACAGTGCAATGTGTGCCATGTTAATTTGCTAAATAATGTCATCAGATCAAATAGAAATACATACATACTCGAAGTGATATGATTTTGTTTGTTTATTTGTTTGTTGTTTAACGCTGCACTCAGCAATATTCCAGCTTTATGAAGGCGGTCTGTAAATAATTGAGTCTGGATCAGACAATCCAGTGATTGATATCATGAGCATCGATCAACGCAATTGGGATACGATGACATGCATCAACCAAGTCAGCGAGCCTGGCCACCCGATCCCATTCGTCGCCTCTTACGACAAGCATAGTCGCCTTTTACGGCAAGCATGGGTTGCTGAAGACCGATTCTAATCTGCATCTTCAGGGGTCCCAAAGCCTATTGGCATGATTGGTACAGTACAGACAGTGCAAAATATGCTACGTAAATTTGCTAAATAATGTCATCAGATCAAATAGAAATACATGTTGTTCGTAGTGATATGATTGAAAGAAGGGCACATGCAAGATCTACATGATAGAGGGACAGGTTGACATGCGTGTCTGTATGAGGTTGTTGATTCTGTAGCATCGTTCGGGCGTTAAATGCCCCTATGTATTTCTATATCACGGACCGGGGCTTAAAACGGAAACAAAATAACTAATGCTGAAATAATCTTTCTTCCACGATATCCTTACAAATACGCAAATACGCTATCTGATACGCAATACACCAGCAATTATAGAATATACGTCTCCTCAGACGCAACTACGCAGTATACTAACAAGTAACAATTATACAACTGACGTTTTGTCACAGGCAAACATGCAAACACGCAATACACCAAGAAGCAAAGTCCTCAAAGCTACATGACCAACAGGAAAGTACATATAATGTGGCATTGCTATGTCAGTGTAAGCATATGTATGTCCTAAAACATATACAACCACATTTGACAATTTGTGGGTCACTGCAAGTGAATCTGATCTGGCAACGAGCTTTGTGTTACAATCAGTATATGTGTCAGGAGTCAGTGACTAGGTTCAAATGTCAGAAAGTGACGAATGGGTTCACGGACTTTCCATTACGTGGCCTCTCGATGCCCAGAAATAGACACCTCAAATGGCGAAAGGATCGCAATCATTTCCTTGAAAAAATCTGGCAATGGGCCAAACAATTTGCTATTTCATTAACGATTCAAGTCCTTATGTTCCTGATAGACACTACGTCGCTATATAAGAGCAATAATCTTGGACGCGACGTTAAACCCCATTTCACCTCACATCTGATAGACACGACAGAATATTGAGACTGGTAAAATAACACTAGAATTGGTTTGTCATATATACTTACGACAATAAATAAGGGAACTAACGATTTGCATGTTGCCATTATTGAGGTGTACATGTACAATGCGGTGGCGTTGCATCTGAACGCAACACTTAATCACAATGAAATTTCACATCATGCATGAACAGCACCTGGTGCACCTACACACAAAAGCCAAAGTGTGTCAGCCTTCCGCGGAACTCACAATCACAATGCACATGAGCTGAGCACACGCTTGAGAGAACCCCCGAGACAGTATGGCAATGGACAAAATGGTGACTTGTGGCTATGATAGAGGGGGGCATCAACATCCCAAGTTGACGGACTTTTTGGCAAATCCAAAAATGTAATTTCTCGACTGTGGGACAAGTACCGTCAAACTTGTGAGGTTTGCAATGAGACCTGGGCGGGGCAATACCATGCAAACAAATTCTGTAACCCATTGCACCCCACACACTTGATACTAAAGTCTTACAGTAAAGGTCTTGTCCATTTCCTATCACAAATCCCCAAGTTCCCATCCAAAGTCTTCTATTTCCTGTCCTAAGACCCCTAGCCTATCCCCTATCCAAAGGCCTCCGTTTCCTATACAAAGGCCCCTATATCCCATAAAAAGATCTCTATTTCCCATACAAAGGCATGTTTCCTGTCCAAGGGCCTCCAATTCCCATCCAAAGGCCTCTGTTTCCCATCCAAAGGCCTTTATTTCCCATCCAAAGGCTTCTGTTTCCTATCCAAAGGCCTCTATTTCTTATCTAGAGGCCATAATTGTGACAAAAATGTCGCAATTTTATAACAGTGTTAATATATCATGTGAACCTGTATGACTATAATGTACAGATAATACAGACTACAAAATCAATGTTGTCGGAACTCACCTTCAGTTTCCTAAATTCACGCTTCCATGGCATCTTGTATAAGAGAATAAAATATTTTTCAAGATTTTTGAAGGCCTCCGCTGCTTTATCAGGAATCAACTTCCCTCTCTCTGCTGTCTTTTCAATGACAGCCCAAAACTCCTGATATTCAAATCGACACTTCCTTTCGATGCGTGACAGGGAATCTCGAACTAATTTTTTAACAGACTTTGACACCTGCCCCATCGTTTGAGACCCCAGCGCTGTTTCATTGTTGAAGGATTTTATGTAGAGTACCCTCGCTTGATCCTTTCCTTCCATGTCTAGACCTGGCCTTTTCTATATCCATACAAAGCTGAGGGTGTTTAATACCAAATGTGTGCCTGTTCCTGGGTGCCTGTTCCTTCTGGTGTCGATGGTATTGCCCATGCTTTGTCTGAAACAGTCAGGACAAGTCAGGGAGTGAGTGAACTGCTATAACTGCATGATCAACAATATTTCACCCATGATGTATGACAACCGGTTGAGTACACACAAACAAAGTCATGATCCTGTCACAATAATATAATTGACTGTTCCACAAAGCTACTTTTGACTGAGTGATGTATATCAACATGACAGACCTCAAAGATGGCAAACAACAGAGAGGTCAGGCTGAAGTATAGATGAGAAAAAAATAATAAAATCTGGGATACATAAGGTCTAAAATTTGTGATTCAGAAGAGGAAAACATCATTAACATCTTTTACTCTAAAACCAGAGAAGATCCGGGTAGTGAATAGGTCTTCAGCAACCCATGCAACGACAAACCTTCCCAGTGTCTTAATTGATTCAACTTATCTACATCCTTCCCTGAAGAGATACTGGAATTCGCGTCATGAAGATAACTCAATCACTATGTTTATTTCGTTGAGGTACATGTTATCAGTTATCCTGTTATCATGACATTGAATTGTTTTGGTACATTGTGATATCATCAGTGTTAGAAATAATGGGGTTGGGGAGTCCTCTTGAGGATACAAGTTATCAGATCATGTTGGGGATAATGGTGATGTGGATTCATAATAAGATCAGTGAGGTAAAATGGGGTTTCAAGATTTTTGCACTTATATACCAGCCTGCATGCACATGGGAATGGCTGTGTGTGGTTAATTGTACCAGTCCATATTAATGTCAGTTTAATAGTACCAGACCTCTGTCATACCATGCCACAGATCAGTATGGATCCCCCCTGCATACACAGTATACGGACTCCAAGCCAACAAGTCTTCGTATTAGCCCCTTAATGCCGAACACCATGCAGGATAACAACAAGTACCATCTTTTAACTTCTTTTGATATGACACGGCCTGGGATCGAACCACCAACCACCTGCTCCCTGGGCAGATGCTCAGTCTTCTAGACCATGAAGGCGTTGTGAGAAGTCAAGGAGGCTCTGGGGTCTGTGAGTTTTGGTTTAAGTTCCTGAATCTATGTACCCCAGAGCTATAGATAAGAAGCATATTTGTGTAAAATACTGGGGGTACCCCCTAAAAATATTCAAAACCCAATTATTTTTAATTAGCTTGCGTACAGAAACACATGCATTAAATGAAAAACTCAAAGGTATAAAAACAGCTTGTGTAAATACCCACTGCAGCTTTTTCAGCATGCATACAAAGGAGCCAATTTCCGAAACACAGTTATGAGCTAATGTACTTTCCGAGTAAAGCCTATATATTTAGAACAGTTATCTAAAACATTATTTCATTATTTTTAAATCTTAAAATGTTCTCTAAATTGGGGAAAAATCCAATAGTGTGGTGAATAGGTGAGTGAAAAAGTATTGGTTACCCAATGAAAAATGTAAAAACCCAATCGAAATAGAAACCCTAGAGTAAAAACTCAATTGCTCAAAAAGTTATCTGGAGCTCTGGGACCCCTGAAGCTGTAGCATATACCGTATTCGACGTAATAAGCGCCCAGGGCGCTCTCAAAATTAGAAATAGGGGGCTCTAATTAGAATATTATTTTGGTGGAAAAAACAGGGCTGAAAGATCGTAAATTTCGTTTATGCTGACAGCCTGAAATGTTGACATACGACAGATATATTTTTCCAGAAATTAATTGCCCATAATTAAGGGTGCATATAACACATAAGTGCGTATTATACACGAATACATAAGTCTTGTGTACATTGATCAATTGGAAGGGGTGCTGATTGGGATTGTTCACTAGCCAATATATTAGCATATATTGCCGTGGGCGCTTATTAGAGCGGGGCGCTTATTACGTCGAATACGGTAATGAGGGTTATGACAAGAGCCTACTGCCTTTCATTTCTTTCCAATTCTAAACTTCAGTTTTGCAAGAGAGTTGAATCAGAGTTTAAAAATAGTGGCAATCGTGTCTGCATAACATGTATGTAGTTTCTACATGGGTCTGGGCAAAGCTCTTATCTTTATGGCAGAAATAAATGCGTCTACTCCTCCAACTCGTTCGTTTCAACTAATTACAACTTTAAGTGTTGCACCTCAGAACAACTGGCAGGGACGCTCATCAAAAACAGAGGTGAGGTGAAATGGGTTTTTACAACGTGTCCAAGATAATTGCATTTGTAAAGTAAAGTGCATGCACATGTGTGTGTCTATCTGTGTGGCTGCTTGTACTAGTTCGGACTGATGCCGGTTTTATAGTCCTAGCCCACTGAGATACCATGCCGCAGTTTAACATGAATACCCTACTCAGACACAGTATACTGACTCCAAGCCAACCAGTACTTGTTTTAGCCCCTTAATGCCGAGCGCCAGACAGGGTAACAACAAGTAAAATCTATTAACGTCTTTTGGTTTGACGCAGCCGGATGGAACGATTGTTTCAGTAACATCATGCAGTGTGAAGACAACAGAGCTGCAGGTCAAAGACATTTCCAACTTTGCTAATAAATCTATGAGACCAGAGCTGTAGGAGTGTAATCCGTAGGTAAGATAAGATTCAAATCCACTACCAACAGCTCCTGGCATGATAAGGGCCGTAACTCTGTATGTCAAATTGCAATGTCATAGATCAGTGAATTAACAAATCCGTATGAACAAAATATGTCAAAAGTAAAACAATAAGCACTTAAACCTAAATATTAGTTGAGGCCAGTTATATTTTAGAAAACACAACACAATTATTATAACCTCCAGCATAAGGCCCCAGAAAAGCAGACAAAAAACATCACAAATCCAATGATTAAGATGTCATAACCAATCCATCCTTATGTCACCATGACCTAATGTCAGAAACCATTGCTCATGCTATCAACCATTGATTTCCCTGATCACCAACACCATCATCGAACTGTATAACTTAGTGCTGTGAAACAAGTTGAATACTTATTCACACACTCAAGAGGCTGAGTGTTTGCACCAAGTAATGCAGATCCTGTCCTGGGGCAGTCAACATCCTTGTGCATGTAAACACAACCACTCCAACATAAGTTGTAGATCAATGGACAAGGTGTCCTTCACGACCTTCTGTGGAGATTGACAGGTTTCATTGTTCATTCATTCATTGGACTTCCATTGTCCACAGCGGGATTAGTGTCTATGTAAAGAGGGGTTTCAACGTGCTCTGTTCTGTCATGTAAGTAACTGGATGCTGGCCCATTAGTAAAAAGGAGTATCTATTGTCCTAAATGATACCACTAAAGACATGATTTTCTTTGTTTGTTTGTTGCCTAACGTCGCAGTTAGCAATATTCCAGATAGATGACGGCGGTCTGTAAATAATCGAGTCTGGACCAGACAATCCTGTGATTGACATCATGATCATTGATCCATGCAATTTGGATACGATGACATGCATTTTTAAACATAAAAACAAGTAAAATCCTGCTATAACCCCCATTACCAACAGTTCCGGGTACCCGATGAATGCATGATAGACACAGGTGAATACCTCGATGTTAATTACGTGCACTGTTCCATGTAACGTCCTCGTGTATTGAAACGCGATTGGGATATGATGACATATGCATCAACCAAGTCAGCAAGCCTGACCACCCATCAGTCGCCTATTACCACAAGCATAGTCGCCTTTTTATGGCAAAAATGGGTTGCTGAAGATCTATTCTACCCAGGATCTTCACAGGTCCTAAAGACTAAAGACATGAAAAACTATTTGACTAACACACAAAATAATATAAACGTGGACTGTTGATGTAATGATGTCTGGAGCAGACAAATCGGTGGTCAAAAGAATGGACATCAAATTTACAGAGAGTCAGTTTACAGTGGAACAGTATTTTCATCAAAATAGAAAGTATGACTGGTGACTCAAGCATTTGAACTACAAGCAGATCCTGACATGGCTAAGGGACACAACACCACCCTATAATTGGAAGGAGTAGAAACATACATACCTCCCTGAATCATACATAGCCGTCTCACTGATCTCCAAGCCAGGAAATAATTTATTGCAGCATGGGTTTTCCAATAGTGTAAAGAGGTTACCCAAAGTTACAATTCAAGCCACTAGTCCAACCTTAAGCTGAGCACATGATTCGATCTTTCTAGGCCAGCACATCCTGCTTGGGCAGGCATACACTTAAAAATGATTTGACTATGAATAACTAAATTAGCATGACTGAAACACAGTGGCAACCAATACGAACCCCCCACCCCCAAGCTTTTCTAGGCCAGCACATCTCCCCCCCCCCCCCCCCCCCCCCCCCCGCCGCGAACATGATCCAGACACACATCTCAGCGCTTCAGGTAACATCCTACCTGTTGAAGGAAGCGGTACGAAGCTGTACAATCTGGTGAATACTATTGTTCTATTCAGTAAACGCTGGCAACTAAAGGTTTCATATTGATAGATCTTATGTAGGCTACAAGTCTAAAGGTTTCTTCGTTGTGTTGTCAAACCTGTAGCAACTGGTTTAGGTCGAGCGGTAGTATCGGTGTATGTTAGCAATATCCCGTTCTGCGTATCCAACTCGATATATAACATTTGGACGTACTGGGAATACTTAATGGCTGAACGAGTCCCACATCATTCGTGTATATGACACAGCAGTATGGATTGTTGAACAAAAATCTCGTATCAAGCCGGAGACTCGAGAGTGAGGTCACCGCGTCCCTATCGTATGCCAGTTCTCTTGGAACGTTTTAAAACCAAAACACCCTGTGGTGATTTGTTAAGTGACAAACTGACATTACGTTTCTCTTGGAATAACATTCACGATTAAAACAAATGTATATATCAAGCTTGCGACGAAATAGTCTCACCTCGTATTCTGGAATGTTACAATGGCGTCGTGTCGGACGAAACAGGGGATTCCCCTAAAACTTGAATCATTGACGTCAGCATTTTCTGAGACCATACAACCGGTTACCTCCCTTGTGATCGGGTTCATAGAAAACTTGTCGTACGAATGCGGATTGTTTACTTTCAAGGGAGCGTTCATTT